TTCTTTGCCCTATTACTATGGGTCTCCTCTTTCATCAACTAAGAGTTCAGTGATCTGTTTTTTATTCAGAGTTTTAGAGTGCAAATATGTCATGTTTGTAAGCACATCAAACTGCTCATTAATTTCATCCTTTTCAAAAAGAATGGAGGTAAACAAAGGTATTCAAACAAAAGAAAATAGCACACAATACTTCATGAAATTTTTAGGTTTTTTAAAGTAATAATTTTGTCTTTCTTTTGGATGACATTGTTTATTGTAAGACATCATTTTTATTAAATACACTGTAATACAAGAGACTTTCCATGTCGTGTTGAGAGAAGCTGGTCACATGATTCACAAACAAAACTTTTAACACTGATACCTAGGCATCACTTTGAAATCAGCCAAGATGCAATGAAAGTTTTAAAGCAATGACTTGTTATAACAAACTGCAAAACAAGAACCACTAAATATTTCCACGGAGACATCACATTAAAAAAAAGAAAAAAAAAAAAAGGAGAAAGGTAGCTCTACACACCAGGTCACAGTTTGGTGACAATATAGAGATTTATATTTATATGTAGATATCTTCCTCTTTACCTTAAGTGACAAAGAGAGCGATATCTAGAAAAATATATATATACATAAAGTATAGGTGGAGAGCAGGGCTGGGACAAATACTTCATAATTAATTGATTCTCTCTCTATTGGTGATTCAATTAAGCATCAGTGTTGAATTAAACATCAGTGTTGAATTAAACTACTTGTATATAAAACATTCTTAGCTGCTTTTCTTTAAGTTACAGAAAGATACATACAAGCTGCAAGATATAGGCCTCTGGAAAGATTCAAACTGATCTCTGTTTTCTCACATATTCCAATCAAACGGCCTCAGTACTAGCAGCTTCTATTATCCTTGCCCAAAGTATTCAGTGTTTATAAAATACCAGCCAGTCATCACTCAGAACTTTCTACAAGCAAACAAAAACCCCCACAGACCTGGTCTAGAATGCATAGACGGAAAAATAACACACCCATCATTTCCCATTTCTTCTCCTGAGACGTATGTTTAAAAGATGGCAAAATAGTCACTTGGTTGCTATTGTGAAATTCACAGTGTTTTCCCTGCAACATGTAGACTTTTTTTTTTTTTTGCTTCATATTTGTGATGTATGTAGCACACCCCCCCGCCCCACCCAAATAAAGGTGTTTTAACTAAGGCTCTAAAGGACCTCTTGATTCAAAGCAGCAGTGGTTCATCCCAGCTCTCAAAACAAGAAAATACAACTTCCTGTGCTATCAAAACCTTCATCTTTGATTAGAAACCCCGATTTGTTTCCCAGCCCCTCCCCACTCCCCTTCCTCACATTTCATAGCAGTATTTGAAATCCAGTTACAGGCTGCAACAACCCAGACACAACTTGTTCTAACATATACGCATTGTACCTTAGTCATCCAGTGACCTAATCATTTTACTGGGATATTTAATTCCTTTTTAAAGTGTTTTGTAAAAGTCTACATCAACCACAACAAAAACAATCTCTCAAACAGGTGGGGAGGGGTACAGGGAGAGAGAGAAAGAGAGAGAAAGGAAGAGAAGAACAAAAGAAAGAGAAAAGGAAAGAAAGGAAAAGAGAAAGAAGAGAGAAAGAAATAGCAAGAAAGGACAAAAAAAGAGAAAAAATAGGCAGTTACTTATTAAACTGTAGACAATATATAGATATATTGTTTTACAAATCAAAATTAATGAAGTCCTTTTAAAAAGGGTACACTCCATCATGCATCATGGGGTGCTGTTGCTTTACAAGTATCTGTTCTCCATGGCCAGTTCTGAGTTCTGCAGATCTATTGAGAGTGAAGGACAGAGTGTGGCGAATGCTGCTATTATTACTGCTGAATTTTGGTGTTCTCATTGTCCTACAAGTCGTGTTGCAGTCTGAATAGTCCAGCTCATTCTTGGAATTATTTCGTTACTGCAGACGCGTATAAAATACTAATGGAGCTGCACTGTTATTCTAGGACAATAAACAATAGCACAAACCCAGAAATGACAGTAAAACAAACTCTGTTTTCTGAGCTTGGAAGCTTGTCTGTTCATTTCATTGTAAGAAATCAACAAGTGAGATGGGAATGGAAGAAATGTTTTTATGCAATCATCTGGGGAAGAAAAGTGCTTGTTGTTATATCTCTGGCATTCTAGCACTGCCTCTGCTGCACACCAGTTAAAAAGTTGAATCTTACAAACATAGAAAAAGAAATATCAAAAGAAAAAAAAAATTATTTTGGTTACTCAGCAGACCTTATCAATTTATTAATAGCACTCTAATCATCATTTGTAATAACGTAGGTGTATGTAAATTTATACATATACACACAGCCCATACATAATGTGCATGCATGTCTGCACATATATAAATAAAATACAACAGACATAGGCATACATGTATATGCTATGTGTGTGTATATATATATGCCATATGCAAACACACATATATAATATATATTATATATATGATCAGTTCATAGCACAGTCCAGAAAGATTTTTAAATGAGCCTGATTGTCATATTTACTCAGTGTACACGATTTAGCTGACAGTGCAAGCATGATGAATATGCACATATACTCACCCTTCATTGTGATTTGAACATATTTCTTCCTCTTCTCTGCTCATTCTGCTACACTTACCCACCTTTTCATGAACAAACGTAAACTATGTATAGCTACAGTTTATAGCTTGTCTACTGTGATTATACATTTTATGCACTATCAAGAACATTAATGATATAGGTCAAGGTTATCCATAGCGGTGGCTCTGTAGAACATTTGGTCCTTTAGAAGTTTAACATACTGCTATGTTATTGCACAATGCATTGTAACACTATTTATTCTCTGAAATTACTCTAATAGTCTCACTAGTAAATCAAAAAGAAGATGCCACTAAGTACATTTTCAGGGTTTTGTGGTTATTTTTGGTATACATTCTTTTAGTGCTTGCAAAACCCACCTGTTTGCTTTCAGGCTGGAGCCTGCTTTCCAATAGAAGCAGCATCTCAGATGCCTTTTTCTTCAGCTCATTAGAAACTAATACAGAATACAGCAGCACCCCCCTCCACCGCCTGCAGCCTCCTCCCAATGCACAGTAAGAGCGGACTCTGACAGCTTTCTTTTCCACCACTGTTATTTTGAAAATCAATTTCAAATTCCTTTAAAACACAACATTCAGATTCTCAAAAGAATGGGTTTCATTGGATGCTCAGTCTTTATCTAGCTTTCTGTGTGAACTTCCAATACAGTCTAGATAAAATCTTAAGGCCCATTTTGTAGGAATCTTCCTCTGGCTTTTCGTGTGTTTCCAGTTCAGTAGCGGTTAAGAAATAACATCTAGTTTATTAAAGAAATACTGAGTATGGCTTTATAGTTACACTGTCATGTTTATTTGTAACGCTGCCTTTTCAATGACATTGAGAAGGGTAAAACTTCATCAGTGTCCAGTGAACTGTTTTATTTTGAAAATGTTCAGAATCTTTATGAGCTAGCTCTAAAAGCTTCTGAAGGAAAAACCTAAAGTGCCTCAATAAATAATATATGCGAGCGAATTATATATTAAATGTGCTATGGGAACACTTACAAAAATAAAATGCTTAATTTATTAAATAAAATATCCCCAACACAAAGATGAAGGACTATTTTGATCTGGCTCATATCAATAAGAAATAACAAAAAGAGGAAACAGAAAGAAAGATCATTTTTTTGCAGTAACGCCCCCTCACAGAGGGAGGCAAAAGTCTTGAGGAACAGGTAAGGTAGGTTTTCATTTGTAAGAATTCATAATAAAAATAATCCTAACTCTAAATTTGAAATCGTCAACTTCTGGTTTGAAAAATAACAGGTATGCCCATGCAGCTGTCATCAACACAGTGGCCATGCAAATGTGGTACACATACAATGCCAATCCAACCAAAAACAAATTATTTAAGAAAGAGTGGATGTTGGTAATGACAGCACTAGTACGAATACAAACATGGTGCTGAGCTCAGGGTGCTTTGCACTCTGAATAGTAAGCCATAAACTCAGAGTAATTTGTTTTCTCTAGAGATCTCTATCCCCTGCCATGGTTCAAACATAGCCAGTGATCTCCGTGCTTTAGATCATGTTATATCAGCCTATTGTATCTGTAACATTGTAAAGGCATTTTAGCATGGCTAATGTCCTCCATTAGCCCCTTCTAATGAAATATAAGTTATATCGTTATGAGTTCGCTATGCCTACTAGGGTGTACTACAAGATGAGTGATAGTTTCTGCACAAAGGGCATTAATCGACAAAGACCATGCACAGTTTTGCTTGCACGGTAAAAAAAAAATGAAAAAGGATTGAGGAAGGAAGGGATATGCTGCTGGACAAGCACAGTATAAGATACACCTGCCCCAGCATCTATAGCTTGTCCTATCTTATCAAAATCCTTAGTTTCAACATGTGATCCTGAAATTAATACTGTACATTAATAAGCCTAGCTTCAGCCTTTATTAAAAAAGACTAGCTGGAGAACATTTTTATACCAGTGGCATGACAATATCCTACCAGAAGACAAAATAAGGGCATGTGTTTAGTTTATCATGTTGTAGAGTAATTGTGTGCAGTGCAGGCAGCATCTTTTTCCCTTTTACTTGTATCTGGCAATGAAAGGTGCTGGCAAAGCACCTCCTTGAACAATCCCTTTAGTCCTCAGAAAGACTCTTCAGGGAAAGTGCAAAAGCCCCTCTTGCCTTCCATCAAATCATTGCAGTGTTTTTTTGTGGGGTTGGATGCCATCTGATCCCCTAGTTCTCCAGATAGTGTATCACACAAGACTGTCTTCTTTCCATCTGGCTTTATCTCCGCAAGGAACATGCTTCATGTAGAGAACACCAGTCTTCTTTTTCCACCCACATGCCGAAGCAAAAAAATTGAGGTGAATCCATAGAAACTCCCAGTAGCTGTACAGCAGAAATCACAAAGTTCGAGTCAAATATATTTTTCCCTTTTTTTCATCCACATCAAAGGCATGAATACAACAAGGCATTGTTAGTTGTGGTGGGCAAACTGAAGTCTGCTGATATAACAGATCAGGTTTTTAAGGCCTTTGTCTACGCAGAGTTACAATAATGCAGAAGCCAAATTGATTAGAAAGACAGGAGAGAAGAAAAAAATTATAGAAACTGAGAGAGAGAAAGAGAGAGAGAGAGCGGAGATACATCTCAGTAATGTCTAAAAAGTCAATACTGTGTCTACAGATGGAGAAGTGCGCATTGCTTGCCCTTTGAAAGCTTCTCCGCAACTTTGTCATTAATACTGTCAAAGTTAAGAATACATTTTAATGGAGTTCAGCGGCAGTTGAACACATTCATTCCCGCAGCCCATAAGAAGAAATGCTAGGAGACTTTAGCCTAAAATATCCAAGTAGACTGGAGATGCCTTGGCCAAGTTCTGGAGGAGCGAATGGATTTCTTTGATGTTGAGCCTCATGTGAGGCTCCCGTTGCCAACAGCCCAGCATCAAGTCATACACTTCCTTGGGGCATGTGCGAGGTCGCTGCAGGACTCGGCCCTGAGTGATGCACTCAATCACCTATGAGAAATCACAAGGAAAGGATCAGCACAGCTGTGCCAACTATGTGGGGGTCATCCATGAAGAGTTAACTCTAATCGCCACAGCAGCCCCACTGGTGGCAGTCACCCAGCCAGCCCTGACAAGTGTTTCTAGGTAGACACATGAGCAGCAGGATGTGATCTGGAAAAATCACTGTAATCTAAGTTGTCAAGGAGCAATAACTTCACTCATGTGAAGTTCACTCACATTGCCCCTTCCACTCATGAGGGAATGATAGCCAGGAAGTAATCCCATACCTCCTCTCTCTGTCCATCCATCAACCTCACCTCATCTCAGAAGGAGGCTAAGTTTTCACCTTCCTCATTCAGAACATCAGTGCCTCTTCTTCCCTCCCTCCTTAAATTTAAGAGTATCACTGTGGCTAATCTCTGAGAAGGGGTTACTTGTGACTGCCTGGAAATCAAGAGATCTCCAGATTACTTCAATCTATCCAAGAATGGTCTTGGACAGTCACTCTACAACCGTGACATGGATATGGAATTGAAAACACCCAAAGTCCATTCAGGAGACAGCTAAGCTCCTTTGCATTGCCTCATGATCTTTCTCAATACCCAGAGCAGACTCTATGCCATACAAAAGAAAAAGCTAAATTCCAACTGATACAGTTCTGTTTGGACAACTTCCATCTACCCTGGGGAGAAAAGGGTGAAAAGGAAGAAATTCAACCACAAAGTTCATGACAATACCATAAATACCTGATATCAGGGGATTTGCCTTTACTAAATAAATTTGTTCCTGTCCCTTCTTCAGAGAAGCAACACTAACAGTTAATGTGCCAGCCTTCCCAGTGCAGTTTGAGAATGAGTTTGAGAATGTATTACACACACCTCGTTGTTTGAGAGCTGATACCATGGCTGTTTGCCATAGGTAAAGATTTCCCATAATACAACCCCCAGGCTCCAGACATCGCTTTCTGTGGTGAACTTCCTGTACATGATACTCTCCGGAGGCATCCAACGAATGGGCAGCATGGTGTGACCCCCAACCTGAGAAAAAAAAATGAAAGAGTCAGAAATAATTCCTCCAGTCCCTCACAAGGAAGAGCATCAAGAAATTAAATAAGGAGAATCCATGGTTTCTCTCTTTCCTATCTGATACCATTCACTTTGAGGAGCTTTTAAGAACCAGGGATTCATGGTCCAAACTCCTCTCTCCCAACAACAATCACTACCATGATAGGTTTCTCAACAGAATCTCCAAAGACATTGTTTCTGAAGTGCAAACTCATCTCTAACATTTACTTTGCACACCCTACCCAAGGAACAGGAAGCTCTATAAAGTTATTACTTAATTTAGCCTACCAACCCACTTTAAATCAGGCCAGTTTTACTCTCCATTTTAACACTTGGGAAACCAAACAAGATTCATGCAATGAAATCTACGCTAATGATTCTCCTAGAAACTCAGCAATGTAAACTGAAATCCATGAATACACAGTGGTCTGACTGTATGACACAGTAGGATCAGGATCTGTATGGTTTAATATCCTAATTCTGAGTGAATTAAAGCAATGCTATTTTCTGTTGATAATTTCCAAAGTTAATGCATCAAATTATTTTATTCCACATAAACTATCCAGTCCTATACAGCTTTTAAAAAAAAGGCAGTCCTTTGGTTATATTCCCTTGATAATATACAACTTGTAGGACATGGACTCCTATGCCAAATCAACTCATGTTGAATGGGATCTTTCACTGAACGAATGCCTTTCTGAAAGTCTTAGAACATTTTTAATTTTCCTCAGAATGCTATACTTCCTTAAAATCAGGTTTCCTAACCTTAATTTAAATTTTAAAAAATCTCTTATTACCAGTTTCTAAACAATTTATTGTTCCTGATATGTTCCATTCTGACTGGATCATATCAATGAAGAAATCCACTCAAGTACTTTTAAAATAGTGTAACTGCTGAAATACAGTGATAGAGATACACAGATAATCTGATTACTTTTGCATCAAGACAGCTGCAAATATTTCCAAGGAAGTTACAAAAAAAAAAAAAAAAAAAAAAAAAAAGGGAAAGCTTTTTCAAGGACATCTAACTTCTGATTAATTCTCATTTTCCTGTCTGAAAATGTATTCAGTTATGAAACCACATTTGTACTTTCAAGATTCTGTCAATTCAAAATATCATTTCTCCTTGTGGGACTTTACATTTGTTGTTATAAATAATGCCCTCCTTGTTCTCATGTTGAAACAGCAAATGGAAGGAAAACCCAACAGAAGTTCAGTCAGGGTTCACATTATTTCTAAATCACGCAGAACATCCATTTCCAGCTATTTGTCAGTAATTCAGCATTAGCACAGCATACCAAAAACACAGCTACGGCTGTGAGAGCTCAACCCTGTTCCACACATTGCTACAAGTCAATGCTCACTACTGACTCCATAAAACCAGAAAGTCATGTTAAAACTTTCATGGACTTGGTCTATTACTAGGCTCTTCCGCTCATCCCCCTACATGAGATGTCACGTGAGCAATGGAGGAGTATTTTTTGTTTGGATGCCGAATGAGAGGTAGGGCTTCTGACTTCAGTTCCTGGCTACATTGCAGATTTGCTTCTGACTCAATGCAGGTTGCTGTGCACAGGTTTCAAAGCCATTCAAAAAGGACCCAATTCCTGAGGCTTTCTGCCTAACTTACACGTGAGCACTCCATTGACAGAGAATGGATACATATTTTTAAGTGTTTTGCTCAATTTGGCCCATTCATCCCTGTGTTACAGATTACCCCTCTGGCAGGCAGACTGGCTGTAAGGCTCTGTGCATCAGTATTTTTAATCCTCTTTGACTGAGAAGTTACTCGATGTGGAGAGTTTGAAGTAACGCATGAACACACTGAGACGCAAACAAAGCTTCAGTTTCCCACCTTATCATAACTTAAACTGACATGGCAACCAAAGAGCTCCAAACCACCACTTTTAACCCCAGCTTGAGAGGTATTTCATTAGAAAGGCAGAAAAGTCAGTCCCTTAGAAACATGCAGCCACATACACCCAGACAAAGGGCAAGTGCCATTAAAAGATGGTTAGTGATGAGAAGCTTTTGGTCTCATCAAATATTAAAATGGCTCTTAGATCTGCTCATCATATAGTCTCTGCTACTGGTTCTTTTCAGCAATTTCTTTGACCCATTCCTTAAAAATTAATGAAAGCTATAAACAATAAAATATGTGTCTCTATTTTTTCTTATTTGTCACATCTTACATCAAGAGATTTGAAAAAGCAATTAAAAAAACCCCACTCTCCAAATCTTCTTTTCCCATGGTTTCTTGCTACAGAACCACAGTGTATTTGTGGTAGGACTCTATGCTGAGTTTGCAATGTCTTTCAGTAAAAGGAATGACACACCCCTACAGTGATGATGATAAATTGCCACCAAATGACGGCCCTGCGATGAACTGATCTGTAACATCACAGACCTAACTGTATCTCTTTGCAGTCATAGCAAGACTGACTCATCAGTATTGACACCAAGAATTTGATTTACAGATAAGCATGAGCCACAGGGCTCTTTGGTGTTCTTCCCACATCATCTTGCCTGGAGCTGTGTCCATTTCTGTCCCTGAAGGCAGAAGACTTCACTGGGCAGAGTACTTGTCCAGGACCGCCAAGTCCTGAGGTCCTTCCATCTCTATCATTGCCAATATCAATCATTTTAGGCAAAGTTACTTCCAACGCCTCAGCACTGTTCTCAAAATAATATTTAATGCCTTGCAAAGTATCAATAAAAGTATTATAAGGGGTGCTCTTCTTGCCAGGTGGCATTGCAGTGAAGACAGGATGTCTGTGCCACACCAAGCATCACCTGCCACAGCAGATTGAGCATCTACCCATGGTCCAAGAGCACATTCAGTTTCAACTCAGATTTCATCAGCCACATCAAAAGCACAGGTCAGGGCCTGGCCAAAGGCACTTTTTCTAAATGCACATTTCCTTCTCTATTAATGACCAGTGGTTACTGAGTCAACATTCACTCAGCTCAGAAAAGCATTAAGGGCTGTGTTAGGTATATGCTTAAAATAAAGCACATGCTTCAGAGCTTTCTTGAACTGAAGCCCAGGACTTGACACCACTGTTCGCAGGATGCCTGAAACAAATTGCCAGACAGTTGTGAACTTCTTTCGATCTTTATTGGACTGTTGAGTCCAAGAACCCACAGTTCTGCCATAATAGCAGTGAATAGAGGTGGAGTGCCTTTTTGCTGTTGTTGCCAAACTCTCAGCAAGGCTAAGGGGTGTTTTCCAAGAAGGACCAATGAAGGAGAACTACACTGATGAAACTTTAAAGGTGCTGAGTGCTTCAAAGGGATGCCTTCTGCATATGTGTTAATAAGAAACGTAAGTATTACACAGCTCTCAGATATCATCAGCATTCTGCAGGATAAACTCACTGCTATGCAGCCTGTAATTGCAGTGCTGCGTGATACACATAACTTTAAAATGGTTGTGTGCGAAGCAGACTGCAGTTGCAGGTAAATAACACCTTTATATTCAGTCTAGCTAAGGTTATGACAGGTTTAAAAGCGTTACAGTTTTAACTCAATATGCTACCACTTTAAAATCCATACTGTAGCTGTAAAAATGCGGCAAAAATGACCATTTTATGGATACAAAATAGGGTGTATTTTCTTGATGCTTACCTGAAAGCAGCTACATTATGGTGGTTCCTTTTTATTTGGAATTGCACTTCTACAGATCCTTTCTGGGACTTAAGTACTTGCTTCCAAATGTCAGTTTATGAAAGCAAACGCTCCCTAGCCCAGCTGTAGCCTTGTATTATATTCACTAGTTGCTTTTACTAGCAATATTGGGCTAGAATCTAAACCAGAAAGCCTAATGAATTAGCTTCTGCAATGTGCAAACTATCCACAGGGAGGAGACCGCTATGCCAGATCAGTGAACTATGACGTTCTCCAAAGAAGCACTTCCAAGGGCAAACCACCACACTGTTCCACATATGAAATGTTGCACTTTCAACAATACAATGTCATTCCACTTGTCACCACTTTCAGCACTCATCTTTAAAATGACTTTAGCACTTTGAAAGGTGCCAGATAAGCCAACCTTGAACATTGTTTCCATCTATTTGCAAATGTCAGGCTTCAAGGATTGCTTTAGAAGCACCATGTCTTAGCCTTGAAGCAGGGCACCTAATTCTAGTTTGTTCACTTTCTGGCTTCATATGTTCTTTATCCTGCTTCACAGGCACTAGGAAATGGTGAGGCTTGTGTAATGCAGAAATTTTGGTTTTAAGAAGGAAACCAGGCCTGTAGTATGAAATTCTGTGGAAAGTGATTTTTGTTGCCCAAGGATCTCCACACATCCATCCATCCATCCATCCAAGGTAAACCCAGCTTTCTTGCACATTAATATTACTGCTGCAGAGAAGAGCCCTCAGCTGGTTGTCATCAAGCTAAAGGCAGGCAGCACTGCAATTTCCCTATGCCAGTTAAAAATGCAATTAAAAATGCAATGTCGATACCCTGCCCTGATCACTGTTTCAACTTCTACTGCCCTACTGCCATGGGAACCCAAAGCCCCACTGCCCGATGTTTGTGAGCAAATGGGTATGCTCTCTTACAAAGAATGAGCAAATGAAGCCTTGTGCTCCTGCTGGGAACAGGAGGCTGTGGGTGGAGCTGGGGGAAGCCAACCGACAGAGATATGGAAGAAACAGGCTGTATGTGAGGCTGCACAGATAAGATGCAAGCCATGGGCTGGGAAAGGCACAAGAAATAATGTTGCTAAGATGACCACTACATCAATTCACAAAAGCTTTATGCCCTACTCATTTGTACCATGAAGAGGGAGGGCTGAATGGATTGGTCACACTTTTGCAATGCATGTCAGCTGCAACCTGGTCTTACCATAGCAGCACCAGGGGCTCCAGTGCTGAGGGTATGACAGTAGGCTTTGGAGCTCCAGAGCCATGCCACAGGGTGCTGCACGGGCTCACCAAAGGACATGACAGGGACTAGCCAGAATG